CTAACAGCTAACTTTAACAGCTAAATAACAGAGCTAATAGTTCACGTTAACAGCTAAATAGCAGAGCTAATAGCTAACTTTAACAGCTAAATAGCAGAGCTAATAGCTAACTAATTAAACTGTCCGATTAATGTAGTGGAGTAGTATAAAATGATTAAATGGAAGTACTTAAGTGAAGTACAAGTACATCAATATTGTACAATCTCACACTGTGACGTGCAGTAAAAGTAAAAGTAGTGGTATAAGTACTACAAGCTGCAGCATTAATAGTAGTAGTTTCAGTAGTAGTAGCAAGAGAAGTATTTGCAATGTTTATTTCAGCAGTAAATGTCCCCTCTGTGTCTTCTTCATGGGTGATTTAGTGTAGTAGTATCATTACTTATATTACTGTTTTTAACATCTCTATATATGCAGTACTACTAGTAGTACTGTGAGTATTTACCTGTCTGATGTGCATGGTGAGCTGGTGTTGTGTTTGACAGTCTTTGTCACACAGTGGACAAATAAAAGCTGAGCTGTCGTCTTTGGTGTCCTAGAAAAAACAAAGGTACACACATTTAGACGGACAGAGACAGGAAGTAAGACGGACAGTTTAGTTGCGGTGTTTTTATGGGATTTGTTGACAAAACAGCCTCAGTTTGACCTGAAGAGGAAAAATCATCCAAGTCCCTGCAGACCTGACACACACACACACTTACAGTACAACACACACACACACACACACACACACACACACACACACACACACACACGTCCGCTCACACAGCCAGGGAAGCAGCACTTCCTTTTTTCCTGTTTCAGCCACAGGAAGTGATGATGCAGTGTGGAATGATGCAATGCATGATGGGAGATGAGAGAGGCAAAATGTACCACAATGTTGAGGCAATAAAGAAGAGAGGAGAGGAAACACGGGGGGAAAGTAGGAAAAGAAACAAGGAGAGGAAATGAGAAGAGGAGAAAAGGAGACGAGATGAGGAGAGGTAAGGAGAGATGTAGAGGGAACAAGGAGCAAGGAAAGAAGTTGACCAGACGAGAGGAGACAAGGAGAGGAGACGAAGGAAAGAGAGGAGTGTAAACAAGGACAGGAGAGAGGAGACGAGGACAAAAAGAGAAAACAAGGAGAGGAGAGGAGAGGAGATGAGACAAGGAGAGGAAAGAAGGAGAGGAGAGGAGACAAGGAGAGGAAAGAAGGAGAGGAGAGGAGATGAGACAAGGAGAGGAAAGAAGGAGAGGAGAGGAGATGAGAGGAAACAATGAGAGCAGAGAGGAGAGGAAACAAGGAGAGGAGAGGGGAGAGGAAACAAGGAGAGGAGAGGAAACAAGGAGAGGAGAGAGGAGAGGAAACAAGGAGAGGAGAGTGATGAGTCTTGTGTGTCAGGTTTGTTTGGAATCACAATCAAAGAAGAAGATGATGAGCGTGAAACTGAACAGACGAGGAAAGGTGTGTGTGTGTATAGGTGCGTGTGTGTGCGTGTGTGTATGTGCGTGTGTGAGAGTGTGTGTAGGTGTGTGTACCGTGGTGCGTCGTGCGTTGCGGCTGGGCGGGGCTCTCATGGCCGCCGTCAGCGACTTTGTGGGGGAGGGGCTTTGAGTTAGAGAAGAAGAAGTGTCAGGCATCACAGTTTACACTTCATCATCATTACTTCATTCATAAAAACATTGTTATCATTACTTCATTCATAAAAACAGCGCTATGTTCCTTTAACGTTACCTGGGCGACGGCCCGGCGGAGGAGTTGGCCGAGGTGACTCCTCTCTCTCCTTCTCCGTCTCCTCCGCCATTAATGGTCCCCGTCGCTGACATCACCGCTGACATCATGGCGTTGATGGAGGACAGGTCTCCTCCTCCGTCTGCTCCCATGACTCCTCCTCCTCCTCCTCGGTCTCCGTTCTGTAGCTTCTCTCCTCCGCTCGCCTCCTCCTCCTCCATCACTCCGTTGACCGCTGCATCGTGAAGTTCGAGTCTTGTAACTAACGTACTTCATTAAATGTGTCACATTCTGAGTGAGGTTTGGTTTGCGTACCTTTGAGGGTTTTGAGCGTTTTCTCCTCCGTTAGTGCCGACTCCTCCTCATTCACCTCCTCTCGCTGCTCCTCGGTGCAGTTCTCCATGACTGCTGAAATATGAACAAACACAACTTTAATTCATAAATGAACAACTTTACATTCATTTATATGATTACAAAACATCAAAGAGCTTTTAGAATATTAGTTTAAACATTTTACAACAGACAGCTGCAAGAGCAGGAGGAGGACGAGGAGGAGAAAAAAGAGAAGAAGAAAAAGGAGAAGGACGAGGAGGAGAAGAAGAAGAAGAAAAAGGAGAAGGACGACGACGAGGAGGAGAAGAAGAAGGAGAAGAAGGAGGAGGAGAAGAAGAAGAAAAAGGAGAAGGACGACGACGAGGAGGAGAAGAAGAAGGAGAAGAAGGAGGAGGAGAAGAAGAAGAAAAAGGAGGACAAGGAGAAGAAGAAGAAGAAGAAGAAGAAGAAGGAGCAGAAGAAAAAGAAGGAGGAGGAGAAGAAGAAGAGGCAATTACTGTTTCCTGTTTGGCAGCCCCCACAGGAAGACACTCTCCAGAGCCACTTCCTCCTCCAGCTCAGAGTGTGTGTGTGTGTGTGTGTGTGTGTGTGTGTGTGTGTGTGTGAGACATTCCTTCTCATTCACAGAAGGAAAAACTAAAAGAAGAAGGAAGAGGAGAGAAACAGAACGTTTGAAGAGAGGAGATTCTAAAATGATGAAAACAGTCGATGGAGTTTTGAATAAAAGCTGCAGCAGTAAAGATGAAGAGTTTTTAAAATGTATATATATATATATTTATATATTTATAACTGTGTGTACTAGAGCGGACTAAATAAGATGTGAACTGGGGTTGAAAATGTTCAATATTTACCAAACAAAAAATAAAGAAATATAAAGAATACTTTCTACAAAACTCTTGTTAAAGTTCTGAAATATGAATACACTATATAGTTAACAGAATTCTGGTAGAACTTTGGAACTAAGTAAGTAAACAAGATCATAAATCTGACGTTTGATGGAAACATTTGAGTTAAATAAATACTATTAAATGTATTCGTTTCCTCTGATTGACAAGTTTAAATTTAGGAGATAAAACAAGATGGAGGAGGAGAGGAAGATGAGAGCAGCTCTACGAGTGACTGGAGACAACTGGCCGAGCGCGTGTGTGTGTGTGTGTGTGTGTGTGTGTGTGCGTGTGAGAGAGAGAGAGTGGTGTTTCCACTGACCTCTCCTTGTATCACTGCTCTTACATGACGAACTGTAACATGGCCGTGGCAGGTGCACCGACACACACACACACACACACACACACACACACACACACACACACACAGCCTGTTGAAACGAACGGCAACAGACGGCTGCAACAGGAGGAGGAGGAGGGTGAAGGATGGAGAGGAGGGGCTGACAAGGAGAGAAGGGGGGAGATTAAGTGTCTTAAAAAGGATGGAGGGAGAAGGGAAGGAAATAAAAGATGGATGGATGAAGGGAAGGAGTGAAGATGGTGGATACAGTGTTGGAGTTAAAGGAAGGAAGGAAGATATGCAGGTTCAAAAGTATGGAGGGTAGGAAAGGAAACGAAGTACGGACAGAGGAAAGAACATGGATGGACCAAAGGAGAAGCAAGGAGTCCGAGGATCACCAACATTATTACAGTTCATCCTCTGGAGAACATGAACGCATGAACGTCATCACAATCCAACCAACTGAAACTTTAGAAACTGTTCGACCGAGTTACTGCATCTGCTCCCAGCCGTCATTCACTCAC